GCTTAGAGCCAGGGTATTCGGGGGGAAACGTCGCCTTGAGAAAGGTCTCGCAAAATTTTCAGACAATTGTAGGACGACAGCTAGATAGAGCTTACATTAACGCCTGAGACACCTTCAGAGCCAAAAAACGTCGCTCTAGAAATGATGACTCCACAGCAACGAACAAAGAGCTGCTCGTTGTGTGTCCAATTTCGATAAATCCTACCTTTGAGGCGCGGTTGTTGGCCAGAAGCTGCGCCGGCAGCATTATCTTCTTCGTCTTCTTCACCTTCATTTAAAACTGGGTCGTTATCTTCATCAAGATCTATCTCGCCGGCACGTGGGACTTGAGAAATCCCAGCTTGGCGTAGACGGGAGTGAAGCTGGAACATTGCGGTATTCTTCTGCTCCGCTGTGGTCTGGAAAGCTCGGTGGCTCACATCCTGGCATGTGCGGAAGCCTGGTTCGGCATCCTGCAAGCAGCCTCGAATACAGCAGACCTTCAACAGGTCGCGATGTGTGTAGCAGTATAGGTCTCTTTGAGAGAGAAGAGCGTTTGTGCATCCATGGACACTGCACGCGACATGGCGAACAGTCACGCCATCATGGACGCCTGCAGACATTCGGTCTACAATATTATTCAGCAAAAGCCCCAGCTCATAAGAGTAAATGAAGCGCACACCAGTTTCCGTCTTCCCCTTGATAGATCTTTGTACATCTATTGCATGTATGAGCCCACATTTCTTGACCCGTGCCAACCATGAAGTAATTCCGCTCAGCCAGTACGGCATTGAGTCGTTCGTCCTGAGGACCATGGTGGGGAAGTTTGAGGACTCGACCGTGGTGAGTCTCGTCACGTAGCACGGCATGCAAGAAGAACGCCTCCAAAACTAGATTAGGGGCCAGTTCATCTTTCAAGCGGGAGGAGCTAGGATCTTCTGAAGTATGGGCGAGGGCTTTGTTGTATACTTTTGCGATACCCTTGCACGTTGCACTGTCATAGGGGTTAGTTTAGTTGTGCAGACAGAGTGGCCTGAAACTGACTTTGAGAGAGACAACTGGGTCTCAAAGTAGATGCAAAGTTCACGCTCGACGTAGCAGGACTCAAGAACGTGAATATATTGAGGAACTTGACTCTGATAGTACTCGCGTCTCGAGTCTGGTTTGTCGGCCTCAGTAATGAAGTAATTGTGATAGTGCCGTGTGAGGCAACCTGAAGAAAATCAGAACGGTGTCAGAAAGTCAAACTAAAAAGGGCTCACCGCGGCAATATAGTGATTTTGAGAAAATTGGTAAGATTCCCCTTCTCAATGTGTACAGGCGCGCTTCAACACTTATTTCCTCGCTAAGGTGCTTATTACAGCGCACGCAAAATGTGACTGGGGGAGCAATTATCTCCGCCCCTGGTATTGCTCAGTTGGGGTGTGAATGCAGATCAAGTCGATTTTGCATACCAACTTTGTGTGCATGACCGTGCTGTTTCAAGTCATCATCTACAGAAGACCGGACAGGATCAAGATATGCGGCCTCTGCCAAGTCAGAAAAGGCAGTCCAGATGAGTTGAACGATTTCCGGTTCCAGTTGTAGTACAATGGAAAGCAAATTGGCGATATTATCTGGGAGAAAATCCGGACGAGCTGTGCTTGGCGGGACAGTCTCTAGCCAGAGTCTTGTTGTAAGTTCAAAGAAGCGCTGAACCTTGTAGAATGTGAGGTTTCCGGCCAGGGAAGGATGTGCGAGGAGGCGCTCCAGAATTTGAGCGGACAGAACTTTGGACATGGTGGATCAAAGAGAAAGCAAGACAAAACATTGAATTCAGTGAATATTTAAAGGGATTGGCTTCAGGTAAAGTGTATGCGCATTGGGTTAGGCTATTTGGTGAGGACATTTATGTGTGCGCATTTGCGGAGTGTTTCACTGCAGATGTTTGCCAGAAGATAGGGGCGAGCAGAGAAGTTCACGCATTTCGGTCAGCTGTTCAGCGCAACATAAGGCCGTGATAGTTAGGTGGATTCACCTGACTAGAGTGTTTATTTGCAAGGAATGACAGGAGTGGATTGGTACACCTAATGTCTGCAGGGAAAGTCTAGAGCAAAACGCTGCGGCGATCTCCGCCGGACACTCTGCCGGAGTCCGGTCTCCGCCATCATACTTATAACTTGTTCATTTTGGGGCGGTTGATGGAAGCGTGATGCGTATTTCCTATTCCGTCTCGGCTGTGTTTTGATTGATCGAATCACTTCACCAATTCTCAAAGAAATCGGCGCCGTAAGAGTGGCATCATACCAATCTTATGGATTTTGCCCGAGCATCAGACTTAGAAAAAACAGTCTTGTAGTATCGACATTTTGTAAGAGCTACCGCAAGAATGTCTCATGAATTAAAATCTTTGTTTCTTGTCAAATTTTCGTTTGGCTGTGTAGCTGTATGCTTTTTTTGACAGCACCTTTGAGGGCATTGTATGAAAATATCTCTAGCCCCATGATGGGATCTGGATTGTATGCTGTCTTTGCTCACCCTGTTCCCCTTGGTCCCCGCTATTTCGGCAGGATTTACGAACTTTTTTGGTCAGTCACGCTCGATCCAACGAATTTACGAATACCGAAGTTCGAATTTTTGTGTCACGGGTCACAGCCGCGGAGAATTGAGCGAAATAGTACAGTAATCGTCCCTTCGTCTTCATTTGCTCTTCGCCCAACCTTCGCCCCACCTTCTCCCTCCCCCCCACCCATTCCTCCCCCGCCACACAAAACGCTCCGGATCACTTCTCATCATACACATAAAACCCGCGCCCGCTCTTCCGCCCCAGCCACCGCGCGTCGACCATGCGCTCGAGCAGGACGCACGGGCGGTACTTGGAGTCGCGCGTGCCGTCGTAGAGGGTCTGTTGGATGGCGAGGCAGGTGTCGAGGCCGATGCTGTGGGTGGGGGAGGGAGGGAGGGAGGGGAAGAAGGGGGGGAAATGGAGGATGAGGAGGGAGGTGGGGGAGGGAGAGGCGGGACAGGAAGGGAGAGTGGGTGTGGTGGGGAGGGGAGGGGAGGGGGAGGTGAGCCGGGGAGGAGGAATGCGTCGGGGGAAGTTGATGCGTGCGAGGGAGGGAGGAAGGATACATCGGAGGGGACGGTGCGTCGGGGAGATGTGCGTAGGCGCGAGGGCGAGGGCGAGGAACGAGAGTGCAAATGGAGAGAATGGGGAAGGTAGGGCATGGCGAGTCCGAAAGGGAAGGAGCGCGTGTCGAGTCCAAAAGGGAAGGAAGACGGGGAGAGAGAACGGGACGCAGACGGAGAGGGGGGAAGGTCGGGAAAGAACGGGTAGCGAGAACATCAGGAACAGGAAAAGAAAGAAAAAACCATCAGCAGCCCGTACTCAACCCACTCCAGCGAGGACGACGTACAAATCAGCTGTAACGCGCGTCAGCGCGTCAGTCAGTCATCACAATATCCAACGAGACGCAGACGCTCACCCAACTGCAGCGGCCCCATCGGGTGATTCATCCCCAGCTTGAGCGTGGTGTCGATGTCGTCCCGCGTCGCGGTGCCTTTTTCGAGACACATTATTGCCTGCGAATGGCGTCGGTTGAGGGAGAAGCACAAGGATGCGCACGCGCACGCACCTCATTGATGAACGGCATCAGCAGCGCGTTGGACACGAAGCCGGGGACGTCTTTCGAGGTGGTCACTTCTGTGTGGTGCGTTAGCGCGGCTCAGTCGTCATTGCTTTGTGTAACGGAAAGAGAAGAGGGGGAGGAGGCGGGCTGAACGTGATCAAGCGCACGGAAGCGGCGCGTACACGCGTTATAAGATCAAATGGCCCGCGGTGTGAGAAGGGGATGCAGGCATGAATGGCACCCGCGGTGGCGCAGCGCAGACGCGGCTCCAAGCGGAGGAGATAGATAACGCGCGCCGCCGGCTGCACCGACGGAAGACGTCCTGTGGTAGCGTCCTCCAGAGGCGCGGAAGACCCCCAGCAAGCACGCACACATGCGCACCCCGCGCCGTTGCGCCCGCCGCTGATGTACCGTGTCGCGGCGCGCACCATACGCGCACCACCGCGACTGTACACCCCCAAATGCATACCCAAGTCCAACGAAACGAACGCCAATAAGAGAGAGAGAACGCACGCACCCTTCCCACACGCGCCCGCAAACGCGCGCGCGCGACCGAGGGTTTCGGGGGTGGTTTGGAGGGCGGAGATGAGCTCGACGAGTTTCTGTGTTCGTCTAAGTTCCAATTGATATTGGCGACCCGAGGACGCGGAGACGCACCATGACGGGTACGGGGTTGAAGAAGTGGAGGCCAACCACCCTCCCCGCGCTCTTTATCCCCTCCGCACTCGCCGCACCCATACCCTGCGGAATGGCCGCGGCCGCGATCTTGGTGATGCTAATCGAGGAGGTGTTGGATGCGAGGATGGCGTCTGGACGCAGTTCCGCTGCGAATGAGGCGAAGATGGATTGTTTGAGGGGGAGGGACTCGGACACTGCCTGCCCGCCCGCATTCGCATTAACTTCACCCAATATACGGCGCATAAACGCGCACCTCAACAACCATATCGACATCTCTCAGCCCTTTCACGCCCTCCTCCCCAACGACCACCACCCTGCCGCGCGCATCCTTCGCCTCGCTCTCACTTATGCGTCCCTTCCCGACGTCCTTGGCAAGCAGCTTGTCCATGAGGGAGAGCCCGGAGCGGATTTGGGCGGGGTCGCGGTCGTGGAGGAGGACGCGGGGGATTTTGGCGCGGAGGGCGGCGACGAGGGCGATGCCCGTGCCCATTTGCCCAGCGCCGAGCACGCCTAGTGTCTGGATGCCGTGCGGGAGCATCGAGTGTGTTGGTGGAAGAGAAGAACGTGAAATTGGGTACCGGGGCGGGCCGGGTGGCCGGTGGTTGAACCAAGCGCAACCTGAAAGTTCAAATCAAGGGATGGACGTTGAAATAAAATGCAAGAATTCGAAGCAATTCGCTTGAGACAGTACGGAAAAGAAACGCTTGCAGGATGGAAAAAAAACCGAGGTCATCACGTCCCAACCCCGAATCGAACAGGGATCATCTCTTGCTTATCGATGAAAAACTTGCGACTTGGAACAAGCGCACTAACCACTGTGCTATTGGGACATGATGCTGCTGCTTGAAGTTCGACCCAGGTAAGGACATGAGAAAGTCCTGGAATTATTCAACCCAAAGCTCGGAGAAGTCCCTGTCCAACCTCAACAAAACCTCAACCTGTTGAACCTCAAGTTGACCTCAAGCAAATAAAATTCAACGCAGTTGCGCCGTCCTGAAAGTTCTTAGGGCTCAGTGGGTACTTGCAAAGGGGAGGGAATCAAAAAAAAAAGCTCGACGACCCAACCCCGAAATGAACGAGGATCTCTTGCATATAAGAGTGAAAGAGGCTGAATCTTTACCAAGCGCACTAACCGTTGTGCCATTGAATCGTGATGCAATCTCTTAAACTGGAGTAGAATATGGGGAAGGATGATCGTCATCCAAAATCCAAATCGAAACTTGAAGGTTACGAGCGGAAAAGCATAGCAGCTAAATAAAATGTCAAATTAATCGCTCTGCTCTAGCCTTCTATGTGCTGCGGCGCACGGGGGCCCGGAAGGTAATAAAATAGGATCAAGTGGAAAAAACAAAACAACACCCTGGGCCTTGATCATGGCCCAAACCAGAGTCGAACTGGAAGCGCTTGCGTAGTAACAACATCGGGAGGACAAGGTGCGAAGGCGTTAGTTTGATTTCCGCGCTCCTACAGCAGTAAGTACTCCTCTGTCACTGCGATATTTTACGCGAGCGCACTAACCGTTGTGCCATTGAGTCGTAATGCAATTCCTTTGACTGGAGTAAAATATGGGGATGGAAAATCATTAACCAAAAATCCAAATCGAAAGGTTAGGAGCGGACAGTGCGGACAGAACAGGGCGCAAGCTATACGGCTAGGTGGGCTTTTCCTGATGACTCGGGTCTATTCGGAGCGCTCGAATACAGTGCGATCTTCCCGTCCTTCGATACGACATTTCAAATTCTTCGGCTCCCGGGCCTATTATTATTCAAGCTATCGTTAACCCAAATTCAGCATCTCATTTTACAGCTACCATGTCGCAAGAAGTAGCCATCATCGGCGCTGGTCTATCGGGCCTATCTTCGCCCTCGTTCAAGTACACTGACTGGCTGAGACATAGACTTAGTATCCATTAGGAGAGCGGGAAATTTTCACATGAAACCTAATTGAAGGGGAGGCCAAAGATGCATACTATGGCCATTCCCGGACAGCGCTTGGACATCTCGGCGATGTTGAAACGCATGCCGATACAATTGTACAACTTCAACCTTGTCCGAGACGGCCATCACAGCAACATCACGGCATCTGCGGTCATCATTCAGAAACACGGTGACCAACTTTCTCTCTCAGCCATCGTCCACGCTTTGTTCAAATCGAGGCTCGGTAAGTCCTGATTATCTGGACTTCCGCCGCGAAGGCGCCAGAAACCGGTGCAAATAAATAAAACAACTTCCGTTCCGCTCTGTCTCAAAACGGTCCGACCCCAAGACAAATAGTTCGCTGCAAGACCTGACCCGCGAATGGTTCATGTCCGCCGAGTTCCGCTAAACTTCCGCGGGGCCCAAATGTATAAAAGGGCGACGAGGCTCGACCCCAGTTTTCTTCAGTCAACTCAGCTCGACTTTCATCTCACGACCTCTTACGCCCTACGACCTACACGATGTTCACGAAATTCGCCCCCATCGCTATTCTCCTCGGCGCACCTCTACTCTCGACCGCTGCGCCGGCGCCCTTGTTTGGTATCAATCTGGGAGCCACGAACCCCACGACCGTCACCGTTTTCCAGTGCCCATCGAGCGCCTCTCCCTCCCTCGCCAGCTCGTCGGTCGCCGCTTCTGCCAGTGCTTCAGCAGTCGCAGCTCCCGGTACTGGCGGTGGGAGCATTAGTCTCAGTGGCGCCAGTGACCCGGCCACAGACCTGCTGAATGGCCTGACCAGCATCAGCTCCTTGTTGAACGGCCTCACGAGCACTCTCCTCCCCAACATCTTGAGCTCGGTCACCGGTCTCCTCAACACTCTCACTGGATCCACTAGCCAGGTAGGCCTCTTCGTGATCGTCTGTAACCCTGCCGATTTACTCACACACACCCAATCGCAGTTGAACGATGTTCAAGGTCAAATCGGCACCCTTACCAGCCAGCTTGGCAGCGTCACAAGCGGCCTCAACGGATTGGCTGGAACTCTTGTAAGCGGGCATGGAGCGAGACACATTTCCATTCTGATGTTCACAACAGAGCAACCTCGGCACTGGCGGAGCTTCTAGCACAAACGGAAATGATATCTTCAACACACTTCAAGGCATTCTTAACAACCTTAGCGGTGTCACCGGCCAGGTACATCCCTCCTGAATGCTATAAACCCCTTTCCTTACCCGTCATTTAGATCACAAGTATCACCAACGGCGCTCAAGGCTCGGGCGCCAACATGAGCGCTTTGAAGCAGGCTCTCAACTCTCTACTTAACGCCTGTCTGGCGAGTACCACTCGTCCGCGTTCTAAAGCATCGTCTAATACTTTTTCTTCCCTCATTCCAGGTTAACATTAGCCCACTTTCGAGCCAGTGTGCCACTTCCGCCCAGAGACAGCTCATTACATCTGCCTGGAGCGCCCTTCAGCCGAAGATGCAGACTTGCGCCAACAATATCAAGAACTAACACTTCCAACGTCCAGCAACTCCTCGGCTTAGATTCGTACCTCCGTGTATTCTGTAGATTGGTGTATTTATCATGTATCAGGCGAATAAAATGACACCCCTTTTCGTACTCCAGTTCCAGGTTGAACATTATCCCCGCGCACAAAATAACATACCCATGAAGTTGATGCTAGTGTGACCGACTTTACACTACTCTAGTCTTCTCTATAGTTTCGTACCACAGTGCTTTCAATTCATGAATCATCTTCGCTGGATTTTTTTTTATCGCGACAGCAAACTAAGAATTCAATCAAGTAGCGTATGCAAAGGCCCGGATTCGACGCAGGGCTCAGAAGGGGGTGCCCGGAAAGTAATAAAAATGGAAAAAATAAAACAATCACGATCTAGCGATAACACGACCCAACCAGGAATCGAACCGGGTCCTCTTGCGTTAAATGTACAACTCCGCGGTATCTAGCACAAGCGCAACCTGTGCCATTGGGTCGTGATGTGGCTTCTTCAAGTTGAACTGGAGTGGGATTAGGCCAACCAAAAATACAAATTAAACGATTTGAGTAGAATTTACTTCATTGGCTCTCCCGTTGGTCCACAACTTCAATCAAGGAGCTCTCAACACCTCTGTGCTATTGCAAGCCTATAGAGCTTTGAATGGGAAGCTCTTGAATAAGTACAGGTCGGTCCCGGGCGACTTGGATGTAAATAATTTGATTGGTGCCAATGTTATGTTCACCCTAGTGGTAGTATGTAGTGACTTCCCATAGCTAAAATCGAACTTCTGTTCCACAGCTCGGCTTTTCAAATTGAAGTCGTGATGTGCCGTTCATTGCCGCCAATTGAACCGTGTGACTGTTCATCAAAATTGCTTTTCTACAGTGGGTAAGTCATTCAGCAACTCATTGATGAGACGGGCAGAGGCGAGCTGCTTTGTTTTTTATTCAATGCTTTTTACAGGGAAAGCGCTCAATTAGTCTAGGCTAGCATCAAACATTCCCCGAGTCATTTGCAGTGGAGCCGCGGTATCGGAGGATTGGCCCCCGCCTTTCTACACGGAGATCAACTCACTCACCATTCTTTTTTCGCTGCGCACAACAGCGGTCTCAAAAAAGACTGGGCAGTGAGACCCTAACTGAACTTGGCGTCGAGCGATAACTCGAGTCACAATTGTTGCGGCCACAAACCCAGTAAATGCAGCAGTTATGCGAAACGTGGTCCATATAATAGATAGTACTTATTCAAAGCACGAGCGACTGTAGCTTTTTAAAGTCAAAGAAGCCGAGACCTTGGAGACAATAAGAGCTCGGAGACTTAGATTCAGAAATGACTTACCAGCCGCTGGGTCCCAGCTGTGAAGCAGAGTCAAACACCCATTCAAGGAAGAAAGGAGGCAGACCTACCCGACAGTGGCGTTGAAACCTGGCTGCTCGCATCCCACTACGACACCTTCTCTGTTTTAGACATCAGGAAGTGTTGAGCTAGAAAGAAGCAGAAGCGAACGTTAAATCCACCAAACCCTCCGAACCTGCTCCGTAAAGGAAAGGGTTCAAGAAGCCCATGGTTGGTTTCCCGTGTTGAAGGCGCCAATCGTTGAGTAACGCAATTATGCTTGCAGCAGTAGGTACTGAGGCACTCGTTCCCTGGCCGATATCCCACCGATTGAAGAAGTAATCAAAGAATGGACCGCCGCCTGATGAGAATTAATTTGTAAGGGAGTAGATATTTCGCCCTGGACAAATTTGACCTACCAGCACATACGATGTCGGGATACGCACGACCGTTATGGTTGTACATGCTGGATTGAAGTGGGGTCTCATCTTTATTTACGGAACTGTTTAGATAACCGGATACCGCAGCATCTGGTAGAGGTCAACGAGCGCTCGGGATAATAGTAAGGAAATCGCACCTTGGTACCACGGGCGGTCGAAATAATAAGAAAATCCGGCTCCCGACCCGAGAGAAGTCGTTTGGTCCATAGCTCCCCCATCCCCATCAACAGTCTCTCCAACAGACGTGACGCTACAATCCAGAATCACCTCGCGATATCAGGTAAGATTTAAAGTGCTTACTACGGGCACGATGCAGGGAAAACCGGAAGGAATGTTGTGGCGTTGTTTCCGGTATTCGCAATGCAGGTCTGGGAATTCAAGATTAAACTAATTGGGTTCATAACTACCAGGACAGATATACCGGCAAATCGCTGGTGCCGAGCCCTTGGTCACCCGTACTGAACAAGACGGAGATACCTCTGTTTGGGACAAAGTGAGCACCTGGCTCGAATGACTGAAGAGATTGGCACTGGCCTGGCTCCGAGCTTTGCGAAGCCTTGACAAACTGCATTGGCGTAGTCCTAGTTTACTGTTCAATACGCGCCATTGAAGTGAAAAGAAAAAATACTTGTGGGACCTGAGATGCGCAATGAAGTTAATGTTGCTTGATAGGCATCAAATAAAAATCTAACCGTTTGCTCGTCATCTCCGTATGAGGTTGTTATGACTGTCGGTGGTTCATCTAGCCCCAGAAGATAATTGATGAAGCTAAGCACGCAAGGTGACTGTTATAGAAATAAAATGCTACAACCCAAAATGCAACTCACTCGAGGTACGGTTCATTCACCCCGGGTGCTTCACCATCTTGATTCTGGTCTGGAATATATGGCGGGACGGAATTCGTCGTATAATAGGTCAAAGGGATGGGATATGCGACTTGAATGGCTGCGCAAGACGTTTTTATTTTCAACACGCTATGCATCCAAGAAGAAACCTACCTAGCTGGGTGTCGAGATTTCCCTCGTCGGCGGTGGAACTTGGGGTAAATGGACCTGAACACAGATGCAGCTGGAGATGGTAGCAAAGACGATGGTAGTTGACCCACCCGTAATGTTGACGATGTCGAGCGTGTAATTGGACCCGATGGATTCCGGAATATAATCATTGATATATAATTTGAACGAGTCACTGGGGAATGTCAGTGGAATATCCAAGAATGCGGTCAGGAAGCGCACGGTCTGGCCCAAATGTCGAGATAACCAGCGCTGGTGATGAACCCAGTCAATTTGGGCACGATGAGTACGCATTCATACTGACACTCCAATACGATTATTTCCCTTTGTCGCAGCCGCCGTGTAATTTCCAATGTTGTACAACTTTCTGTTGCAGGGAGGGTCCACTATAGACTGGCAACTAACGAAGTCGCTTTGGTTAAGGACCACAGGCCGCTTCTCGAGAAGCGGCGGGGGCATCGCGGTAGCGGCCGTGTCTTTACCAGAAGTGAATTTGCCCATCCCGTGTCCCATCGGGTCGAAAAAGGCGGTCGTCGGATGCACAAATGTGATGTGGGGAATGAGGTCATGTGGGAGACTGTAGCTGAGGGTGCGAACAACACGATTTCCACTCTTGGTATGCTCGTAAATACCAAAACGCGTGGATAGCATGTCCTCGGCGGCGGAGACAGGAACTATTGCCGAAACGCTGTCCTGAGAGGTGGTCCATTTCACAGATCTGGCATTGTATGTCGCGAGCCAGCCGTCCACAAGCTGGAGAGTCTCGTTGGAAGGTTTCGAAAGAGCAAGCACCTCGTCCTTCGAGAGATGCTGGCCGTAACTTGAGTGGGTTGGATCGCTAATATTCCGCAGCAAGGCCTCCAGGTGAGAGAAACGGTGCTGAGTGAGACCAAAGCGCAAGTTGAGGCCTCTTTCTGCAGATAATTCACCGTCCGCGAGCTCGGCCCAGCCAGAAGGGACGCCAGGGAGCGAGTGTTTCACCAACGACGGCGAATGGGCAGACACGGTGGCTGCCAGAAAGCACCAGAGTGGTATCGCCGCTAGAAGCATGGTGGAGAGATGGTTGAAGGGAAGAATCGTTCTTGTTATAACGGCCTCCGAGATTCTCATACGGGCAGAATAAGCCGACATAGTTGGGCGTCTGATAGATAAACACTAGCCGACGCCGACGCACTATTGAGTCTGTTCCAACGGAACCATCAAATCGGAATCGAAAGCCATTCATCAAGTTTGTAATGGTCAAGGGTCTTTATTTTGGTGGATTCTGGTGCTCTTAAGCCCATGCGGATTCGCAACTCGCAATGGTTGGTGTACATTTCTAGTCCCAGAGAGTTAGAGACGTGCGACAGATCTCAGGCAGCATCAAGGTGTGCCATTGAAACAGCTTCTTCTCACCTCAACGGCCTACACGGCCTCACCGACCCACCCTTACCCGTCTCTTCGTCATACATCCAATACGCCTTCCGCACAACCGAGGTATTCTGGTGCCGGCGGTCCCCCTTCACCGCGGCCGCGGGTTTGAACTGCACGAACTGAAATGGGAGTCGTTAGTACAGTACGTTAGGTGCATGTTGATACACGCACCCTTCTACACCATCTCCCTCCGGATCCATCGTTCGGCCATGGCTCACCCAAGGGGTAAGACGCGGAGTGAGAAGCACCAGTAGGGTAGCGCGGACGTTGAGGAACGTAGCCGTGAAAGCGGGCAACAAGAGGATGTAGGATGACGTGCAAGTGGATGGAAGTGACATCGGAGTTTGGACGAGTATTAGAACTTGAAGAAACAAGATGCATACGGGTGCCGTCCATTGGCGCCCTTGCTCACCGACCCTTGAACTCAACATACCTGCAACTTCCACGACTATCTTCACAGAAAGTATATAGAGTCTGCCTGCGAGACTACCAGCGTGCCCGACTCCCTTACATAGGCTGCCGAGCTTGCGTTCGAAGGACTTATTGCGCTGGGCGTGGCGGGAGAGGTAGATTTCTGATTTGGACTCTGCATAACTTATAGGCTTGCGGTGGCAACGGCGTTGCTCGTGCGACTGGTAATTTTCGAAGGTTACAGAAGATAGCGGCAAACGCGATATCAATGAGGACGAAGAGAAGTCCGTGATGAAAAGAAACAAGGACAAACCGAAGCACAGCCTCCGAACCCTTCTCGCACCCTGTCATTCAGATTGTCAACTCATGAACGCGATGGAATCTCCCTTCAACAGTCCTTCAACCATCGACTTCATACTTGCGCCTCAACGAAACCACTCGTGACCTCTCGATAAAATACAGGTGTATATTGCCGTTCATAGAGCGCTGATCTCCCGTCCTCGTCGTCTGCCCTCCGATGCAATACGCGTTGCATGCCTTTCTCCCGGAATGAGGTCCGACCCATTCATCCAGGACCTGCGCTTCAACCTGTCATCATTGAGCCACAAGTGATTCCTTCCTGCAATTTAACATTTACGTTCTTTCCCGACCATTACCAGGCTTTGTGTATACGACAGTCGCACTAACGCGAATATTTTCGGCGACCCACTCCCACCGCCAGGATTCCGGTTACCTACCATAAAACAGCTTCCGGATCTCCTCACCCCTGGTCCGGAAGAGGTGATCCATCCAATGTTGCAGGAGCTTGTGATCACGAACTGCGATTATGATGAACTCGAGAAATACGATGTACGCAAATTTATCCGCGGACGGACGGAGCTTGT